CTGAGTGTATGTTCTGTGTGGAAAGGCTTATATAATGTGAAACGTGTACTACGTTTAGCAATGCTGCAATTTATTCCAAGGTAATAGAGGAGCCGGGCGTCGCTCGAATGCATGTAAGCATCTGAGGAATTTGTTGTTACTGAGGTTATTACAGTCTATAACTCTGACATTGAGGTTCTAAATGTCAAAAGAGACCGAATATAGAGACAAATAGGTGTTCAAATCACGAAAAAATGCGTAGCAGAAGCAACCACAGAAAGTGCTGCCAGTAATCGAAGCCAGCACTCGACTGTAAGCATAACGATTTCTGTTGACTCTGAAGTTGTCGTCATGCTCATTCTCGATCGATCAAAAATGGTTGGCAACAAAAAGTAATATAATAACAATGAAAATGGCCGTTTGAACCAAAACAAATTTCGAAACAACCTTCCACTGGCGAAAAAGATGCTTATTTAGACTGTTAAATCTCAATTTCCTCTGTTGTTTGTGAAATTGTTTTTCGTAAAAACTGCAAAACGTTTAAAAATATATATGAAAAATGAACGTCTGCTTATTGCTTCGTCGAAACAATACTTTTATCGATATGGAAGTTACGGCGGAGTACATGCTTGAAGCACTCATGCGTTTAATCAAACGTTGCATCTGATACCCCTGTCTGCTCACCAGGTCATCATTTATGATGAGTTAACCGTTGCGCATTTCAAACTAACAGTTATATGTTGCATTGTAACCCTATGTCCAGTGTTCCTTTCTTTTGAAGAGGGTTTTTTTAAACATGAACTTTACGAAAACTGAAAAAAATTAAGATTTAGTGATCAGTAATTCTGAAAAAGTGTCACAGGTAGTTATCATGGATGGTTAAGATTAGTGAAACATAATGACAGCATTGAATATCATACAATTTATAGCCACAGAATAGCCTCGCTTAAAAGAAGGTAATTCTAGTTTAACGAATTTTGTTTCAAGTAGAGTATATTTGGCCAAACACAGCCATCAATAACATTCTAGTGGATAGTTTATTCTTTCATATTATTTCATTCAGCTATGCTGATATAGTTCGTTGGAAGCACTGAAAAGATGAAGACTAGATTCAGAGCTCTGTTTGAGATAGAAATAGCCACTAGTGTGGTGGACCTTTGACTCCGTTAGCTTAGTTACCCAAATTCAAGTAGAAAATAAAATACCAAATCAGATTAGTTACGGAAAGAATATATTAAAATTCCGCTACTTGCGTTTACAAAGATCCAAAACTCCACAATAAACGTAACAGACTACGGAGGCGCTGCAAGAGGACTGCTCCAGTACTAATTCTCCAATGTTGACGTTGCCGGAGGTCGACCAAAGTACGTAGGAAGAAACTACGGTGCTCCTGCAAAAATTTGAGATAGAAAACAGGTGATTAAAATTGATCGACGGCAGATGAGACGGTGGAGAAGACTGAGAGTCCGAGTCAGAACTATATATTTATTCAAAACCCGAGGTAAAGTTCAAAGTACAGAGTTTATGGTTAAAACAAAGTGATGTACAATATGTTCATTTCTTACATAGTAGTAAAATTTGGATAAGTTTATTTTTGACGACTCCACAGGGCTCCCCCTCTTAGAGGTCCGGAGGATCATCAGTACTGTCCTCGTGGACGATTACATGCATATAAGCAATATAAATAAGGGACAATGTCTACAATAAGGATAACAAAAAAACAACAACAATAAGGATACAAAGTTAGATCAGGATGTATGGAATGCATCTGTGTCGTATAAAGTTTAGCACATACAAGCACATACAGGAATTTAAAAAAAAAAAAACTTGTTATAATTTAAATAAAAAATTTATGTACATAATAAACCATGACATGTTCGTTGACATTTGTGAAATTCATATATAAATAGACATATACATATAGTTGGTAAACCCGTTTCGAACCTTTTTTTATGGTTAACCCGTTTTGAACCTTTTTGTTTCGATAGTTAACTCCTTTTGAACATTTTTGTTGCTATTTTGGCCTTATAAACTCGGCTTGCTTTAATTTTTGTTACCACAAGTTTTGCTATTTTGTATATCTCTATACTTATATATTATATGACAATGGCTCCACCTAAACGTACCACTGTTGCTGAAGAAGGTAATAAAGGCGAAGAGACACAGAACTCTGCCGTTAACGCCTTGCCGGATTTAAGACTACCTCAATTTGATCTGGCTGAACCACGTGTCTGGTTCACAATCATTGAACAGTTGTTTGCAGCTCGAGGTATTACGTCGCAGATTGCCATGTATGGTTGCGTATTAGCAGCAATACCCACGGTAGTACTACGAGAGGTTATCGATGTCATAGACAGCAAACCTACAGACTCTCAATATGACAAACTAAAAGCTGCACTCATCCAGCGGACCACTCTCTCCGATGAGAAGCGCATACAACAACTACTTACTTCGTGTGATCTAGGTACAAAAAAGCCATCTCAACTACTTAGGCATATGCACCAGTTGATTGGGTCACACAAAGTAGATGAGTTAATTCTACGTCAGATGTTCTTACAAAGTTTACCACAAAACGTTCAACAAATCCTAACAATATCTTCTAGGACGACAGACCTATAAGAATTAGCTAAGATTGCAGACGATATCATGTGTGTGTTATCAAATAATGGCATAAATAGCGTGTCTACAGAGGCAGTACCACCAAGCCCTTCCACATCCATGAAGGACGCACCAATGTTTTGGTTACTTTCCCAGTTAACATCTCAAATGCAAGACTTACAACTGGAAGTGTCTGAGCTTCGAGCACAAAGGAACCAGTCACATACGGTATCCAAGCAACGGCGATCAAGATCTAGACGACGTTCTAGAACACCGTCTCAAAGCCGTAACATTTGTTGGTATCATAGGAGGTATGGGCATAATGCCCTGAAGTGTCTTCGACCGTGTATGTACAACAGTGGTAACTCATCTCAGGGAAACTCCCCAGCCAGGCAGTAATGGCGACGGCTGTTACTGGCAATCACCCCAGTCGCCTTTTCTATGTGAGGGATTTGACTACCAGCACAGGCGCCGAGGTCAGTGTTATTCCCCTCTCAATATCCAGGCGATCAGCCAAAATGCCTGGTAAACTTTCACTTCGTGCTGCCAACCAAACCAACATACAGACGTATGGCGAACAGTCAATGATTTTAAACTTAGGACTACGCCGACGTTTCACATGGATCTTCATAGTAGCTGACGTACGCCACGCTATACTAGGTGCAGACTTCCTAAGTCACTTCAATCTGTTAGTTGATATCAGCAAGAAAAAACTGGTTGACAATTGCACCCAACTCAAGATCCACGGTATTACATGCGACTACTCGGTTCATAGCATCTGCATAGAAAAGCCGGAGAGTGAAATGTTCTCTGCTTTATTGCAACGATTTCCTAAAATCCTTAAACCATCATACAACGTCGAGGATATATCATATCATATATCATACAGTTACCCATAAGATCATCACAACAGGACAACCTGTGAAGGCACGTCCACGACGGTTACCACCCGATAAACTAGCAGCAGCTAAGTCGGAATTCGAACATATGATGCAGCTAGGTATCATACGACCATCTAACAGTCCATGGTCTTCACCTTTGCATATGGTACCTAAAACTAATCATGACTGGCGACCATGTGGAGATTATCGCGCTTTGAATAACGCTACGGTCCCAGATCGTTATCCTATACCTCATCTCCACGATTTCTCCTTGAACTTACATGGAAAGACCATTTTTACTAAAGTTGACTTGGTCAGGGCATATCATCAAATACCAGTCGCTCCAGAAGACATTGCAAAAACAGCAATTATCACGCCTTTTGGATTATTCGAATTCTTGAGAATGCCTTTCGGACTAAAGAATGCTGCTCAAACATTTCAGCGTTTTATGGACCAAGTTACCCAAGTTCTTGATTTCGTCTTTGTATATGTCGACGATGTCTTAATTGCCAGCTCATTGATGGAAGAACATATGGAACACTTAAGCTTGTTATTTCAAAGGTTTGAACAATTTGGAGTTGTTATCAATCCAAAGAAATGTATTTTCGGTTCCCCTTCCATTGAATTCTTAAGACATCGAATAACTGTCGAAGGCATCAGACCTACCGAAGATAAGATAAAAACTATTAAGAACTTTCCCGAACCTGATTCCTTAAAGAAACTTAGACGTTTTCTCGGGATGTTCAACTTCTATCGACGTTTTATTCCATCATGTGCCTCCATAGTTCAGCCACTGACCGACCTACTTAGATGCAATTCGAAGAAATTTCAGTGGTCTGAAGAAGCAAAAGCAGCATTTAATAATGCAAAAGATGCCTTATCCAACGTTGTAATGTTATCTCACATAAACCCAGAAGCTTCACTCATTTTATGTACAGATGCATCGCAGGTAGCAGTGGGAGCAGTTTTACAACAAAAGTTCAATAATGACATCACTCCACTTGCTTTATTCTCCAAGAATTTGGAACCTGCGCAAACTCGTTACAGCACTATTGGCAGAGAACTGTTAGTCATCTATCTGGCAGTGAAACATTTCAGCTTCTTACTACAAGGTCGACATTTTACTATCTTAACCGACCATAAGCCTCTTTGTTATGCTTTCACTACTTCGTTGGACAGATACTCTCCGAGAGAAGCCAGACAACTGCATTACATGTCACAATTCTCAGACATAAACATAGAATTCAAAATGCATGGTCGAAATTTCCTTATTAAGAAATTCATTTCTTGAATTAGAATGTGAACCATTGGAGAATTCTACTTGGAGCGTTTCATTTTATAATATTAGAACACTTCATTCAAAACATGCTTGATGCTCATCCATCCAGTAAGTCAGAATTAATCAAGGATATAACCTGTTATTCTGAATTGCTTTCAACGTATGCAGCGTAGTTTCTTCAACTTAAAAATCTTCATATATAAAAGATATCAGATGAAATGTATCACGATATGAAACTGTAATTTTGTATACTTACATTTTAGAAGTTGCTCCAAAATATTACAAACATCTCAATTGTTAATCATCCCAAGTGATTTCGTTCTGGACAATGTGGAAGGTAAAAGCGGGCAAAAATTCTAAGGTTTGTGAGATAATAAAAAGGAATTCATTCATAGAAAACAATCCTCAAGATTAATTCTTCAAGAGTCTGCCTTCGAAGGGTAGGTTTATTAGTGTATTATTTCCAATGTATCGCACACTTAAATCCAGTTCATCATTTTCACGTGTTTACTTGTTTTGATGACAATGATTACTACAATATGTACGGCGACAATGTAAGTCTTCATTGTAATGCATTTTTTACGAGTTACCTATTCAGAACGACACTCCAAAGACTGTATGATATTTTCTACGTACCATTTGTGTTTATGTGAGTTATCATATATCAAATTATAATAGCTAAATATTATTTATGCAAATTTATTTGTCTGTATATATTATTGTGGTACTTTTATGAGTGATTTGTAATCGAAAATAAAATAATTGGGACGAACTTTCCAAGAGATGCAATAGAGTTATGATGTTGAATAAATTCTATTTATTACTAATACTTTCTGACGTTTCATGAAGAGCCGATGCATGTAATTCGCCCCTTGATTTACCTCACAGTTTCATTTTTTTTTCTTTTCAGTATACTTGGCATCCTCTCTGTGATACTGTTTACTAATATGGAGGAAATTCAAGGGCGTTTTCCAGCTAATTATGCTTTCATGGCACTTTGTGTAAGTTTGACGTTGATAAAAGCCCTAAATGTTCGTTAATTATTTTTCAAGATAATAGGTCTAATCTGAGCCCAAATTCGAACCCATGGGCTTCAAACATAAACTGGAAATATCATACTAGGATGTTTTGTCATTTATGAATATAAATATAAAAATAGTTGATATGGAGTTACAGGCTTCCACATTTTCCACTGTTTACACAGAAACAGTCTGAATTCATCTAAGGATACATCGTTATAATTTCTCTTTAAAATCTAATCTTCCTATATTATAGATTTTCTTTGAGTCTCTAGGATTGCCTGTTATGACGATGTCCTTGGGATGGGGGACCATTCTAGCATGGTCTTTGGCGATAGTTGTAGCTGTGACTGCACTCACTATTGGATACAAAATGGAGAGGCGGAGGAAGAAGGTCAGCATCATACTATTGAGCACTGCTGGAGTGATGATAGTGTCAGCTATCATCGTATTGATTGCTTTGAGACTTTCTGGTTTTCTGGTGAGTATCTTGATAATAATTGAAAGAATAATCCCTCTCATTTAGTTCAGTTAATAATGTTAGTTTTCCGTTTCTTGAATTATAGCCAGTGCCCGTCGAAGTGATTACTGACTATATGACAAGTAGGTTTTCAGTTGGTATAACTTTGATAAGAATTGGTGGAAAATCCATTTATTAGGTGAGATATCAGTGCAGTTGTTTCAAAATGTGTTAAACTTGCATTAAAATTCTTATTTCCAGAGAGGATTAGTGTTCTGCTTCTTTCGTCGTCATTTCGCATTTAATTTCTTGATACACAGTCGACATCATTTCCATCATATGCAAGCTATTCCTTTCCTCTACAGTTCAAGAGCCTCACAGAGATCATGAAATGCACACCATAACAATACTCATCAGTCAAACATTTAAGACAAAGTATTCGTGAATTGAAATGCAATACTCAAGGATAAACTGTCACGATCAGTGTGCCAGACATAGCTCATTCTAATTATTTTAATGGGTAGTGAATAATTTGAGAAACTCGTGTTTTATTATACCCCATCCTCAGTGTTACAGATTCGTTACATAACTCGAAGGTCAGCTATCATGGTAAGAGTTACATTAATTTCAGCTGGTTGAAGACCCTACTGCATATTTTTTCTGCTTATTGATATTCACCCAATACATCACATATGTTGTAGTCATAAGTAGAGAATAAATATACCAAACGTGAATAGACTCAAGCTGTTCGTATCATATAAAAACGAACCAATAACCTGTTTTTGATTAAAATTGAACGTATATCACATTCTCTCATTTACTTGCAGAAAACATCAAGTATACTTTCTGGATTAACCGTCATTGCTGCTATATCGATAGTAAGACAGACGAAGAATTTTGTGAATTCACAAGACTCTTAGTAATCAATAATTTCAATGAAAGCCGCATTCAATATCTTTACTATATCCTGATTAGATATTTTCAAATTAGTCTTCCTAATGGACACACATAATTATGTGTCTGTCCGAGAATTACAGAGCGCATTTCAAATGGATCACGTATTTAGTAGCTGCACGAATCGATGATATCCAGATGTTCTATTGAACTAGAAATGAATAAACACAATTTACGTAGAGAGTCTCTGTGTCACAAATTTGCACGAATCGTTTAGCCTACTCGGCTCATGTCAGCCGTGGACATTTGAGGCGTTTTATTTTTGGTGTGCTGAAATCAGTTTATTTGTACTGCTTGAGAGCTCATCCATTTACTTGGTAATATGGTAATATTTCGTCTTGTATTGTAGGTGCTTTACCTAATTGGATAAGGTTTACGGCGTTGCAGTGCAGAGCCGACGACAAGTCTCCTCCCATTTGGGTTATTTCTGCTCACTTGGTTGATGATAATATTAATATACCTTTCCATATGTGCAATGATCGAAGGCGCACTTAATAAAGGAGATTATCGGCATGTAAGAAATTAAAAAACAGAGAATGCACTATAAATGAAATACACTCGCCATCTATTAGAGGAATAACTAATTGAATGAATATATTATAATGTTTAACGGATAACTAACATCATAATATGCACCAAATCAACGTGTTCTTTAAAACAATCAGATATGGTTGACCTACAGAGCAAGATGAGATTATATTATCTCCTGTAATCCAGTGTTACACAGTAGTAAACAAGACGACCAAAGCGACAGTTACCGACAACATGAGCGCTATATTGATTAGGAACTAAGGGTAAAATAGCTTATTTAACAAACCATGCTACTTTCACCGAAACATAGTTAGTGGAAATTGGGTTTTGTGTTTCCTGACTTTTAATATTTGGACTGACACAAGATGCAACCAAACTTACCATCATGGAATATATTGAAATCTGTGGATGACAACAGGATGAAAACGTTTTAGTAATGTGTGAGTATAGGTGATGAACGTAGGGCTGGTGAGGTTAAAGTTTTGAATTTTTAACACAGTATTATTCTTTAATGAATTTGATTAAAGTTTCCAACATTATTTTTCTAAGAACTGCGAATTGATGATTGAGTAAAATTCGTTATTTACGCTTGGTTGTGGATTTTGACACAGAGAAATTTATCATGATATGGTGGAATACGCAACAATAATCTGTTAAATCTGAATGAAACTTTGAAGATATTTTGGATACACGAATGTATTCATGACGAACTTATATGACTAGATGCATTTTCTAAGAGTAAGTCAATTAGCATTTGTTGAAATATGATGCGTGAATCTGTAAGGCTTTTTATGATGACACGTTGCTACAGGATTGGAGATCTGAAACGTGAACAGCTGTGGCCTGTTTAATGAGTCACTGAAGAGTGAGTTTAGACGAAATCCAACCATTACAGACATTTTGCTTCATTCATACAAATGACTAAAAATCACTGAAACATAAATTCTGTCTTCTTCCCAATTAAAGTATCGCCCTTGTAAATGGAATAAATGGACTCGATAAAACTATAAGGGGAATTTATGGCGCTACTAATTTCGAGTAACATTGTATTGCCAAACGTCTGCTTCAACAATCTGAGAGAGACCTGTCTACCTCTATCGATAATCGGAACTGAGTACATTAATTTTGCGTGCTTTTGAAGAAGTGAACGTTTCGGTGAAACAGAAAGGTGATTTTCTGCTCGAATGATAGCAGATTTGCAAAGGTGGCTGAAAACAGTCGAATTCATCGTGCCTAATAGATCAACAACACAGCATCTTATATACTGAGGAAATGAAAGTGATTCTGTCAACACATTCACTATTGTCCGCCTACAAACAACAAATAGGAAGATGGTGGCAATTGTTGAGGCTTGCTCAATTAGAATTTATAAACCAGGTCTGTATTTAGGAAAGGCGATGGTAGTTGAGCCTAATCAACCATGATGAAATGTTCTACATATAAACCATAATAATAATTATTATTAATACATTATTTCATTCAACCTCTTCTTATTATCATTCCTGATTCATTTAAAAGATCTTTATCAGTAGCATTATCTTGACTCGTTTTGACATTAATAATATTACCAATAACATCATTATCGATATTATTTAGTTTGCAATTCTTGATATATTCAAGTTCTTTCTCTGATGACTTATTGTTCATTCGTATGATGTAGCTGATTTGTTTGTGATTATCCGTCGGTGCGTCGGTGGTACAGTGGTTAGGACTCTCTCCGACCATGCACATGGTCCGAGGATTGATCGCCCGCCGACGCACACCTGATATCTATGGTCGGCCTGCAAAATTTGGGCTACCGATATCCATGCTGAAAATTCCATACCTCTACCAAAAATATGGTGTGGAATCAAGCTGTAGTCAAAAATAAAAATGAATAAATTCCAATCTTTGAAACTCACTTCCACTTGTTTATATCAACTTGGCCTGGAAAAAACTCACGCGTATATTATCTCGGGATTGGTTTAACGTAGTTTGCTAACTTATCAGTCTTACATCTTCCAATGTAAATATAATGGTGTAGATATCTCTGTGTGTAGGATACTTAGGTGAAGAGTTCTACTGAAAAATTTATAAAATCAATAAGTGGCAGCTTATTAGGCTTTTTTTATTGTCTTAGGAGAAATAAACCTGTCAGCTGCGATCAACAATAAAGTAAAATCAAGAATATCTATTCATTCATATTGAAGTAATCTCAAGAATCAATTGCATCAACATAACTAGCGAAGAACACTTGACAATAGTTCACTCACATGAAGTAACTCCTGGTTCCTGATTTATGCGTCTTCAAAAACATTCACGTTGTTTGTTATATCTAAATATATATTATTTGACTTTTTCACGTTAATTCAGATCAATATTAAGAATGCAAAGTGGTCGACTTCTGTTTTGAATCTCAACATTATTCATGAATTTTTTATACACATTAAAGTTAAGTGTCGGTATGAATCACAACATCATAACGAGCTAGTTTAACTATTGGAGAATTTTTCTCAGACGAATATAGGCTATCGATAGCCCAAGGGTTAAGGGAGCACAAAGATAACTTCAAATCGAACCACTTATTTGTATGTATCATATATTTCGATTTCTTAATCAAACCAAATGCTGGTATGAAAAATAAAATTGTAGATTTCTTTGAAGAAGTTCGGAACGCTAATTTGTAGTCAAGTCAATTTTCTGATTGATCAAACCGAACGTTTGAGTTACGCGTAAAATGAGATCACGAGACTTCTATAAAATACGACACTATTTTACACATAAATTTAATAGACTGAATCTGAAGAGAATAAAACAATTCCAACAGTGGTGTGAACACGGGCAGTAATTTTGCTCGAAATATTACCAATAACAAAACTTATCATTGTGTGTAAACTATTAAAATATAATTATACTTTATTTGATCTAATCCACAATGCTCAAACTTTTTACTGATATTAATTCATATTGTGATGTTTCTACTCCATATGCCGTCAATTTCACTGTCAATGCAGGTGAATATCAAAAAACGCTTGACGTTATGTAGGAAAATTCGAGTGAGAGAATAAACAACATGCAACTGTTCAGGTGAAGAATAAATGGACCGGAATAGAAAGTTCACAACAGAGAATGGAACATGATGAGCATTTCTAAGCCCGTAGAAAAAAGGTTGGTAGGGCATCGAGCTAGTATTACTAAACTGAAAATGCGCGTCAGCTGGAAGTGCCAGCCTCCATGGGAACCTTATCACTGACTGAGAAATGCAGGCTTATCCAGGTGATGAGTCCCAAATACGTAATTTTTTTTTACTATAGCTTGATTCGACACCGTATTTTTAGAACAGGTATGGAATTTTCAGCATGTGATGTCGGTAGCCCAAATTTCGCAGGCCGACCATAGATACCAGGTGTGCGTCAGCGTGAGCTTGAACTCCGGACCATGTGCATGGTCGGCGACAGTCCTAACCGCTGCGCCACCGACTCACAGAATATCAAAATTTCGGTGCACATGAGATCAGATGAGAGAGAAGTTGATGATGTAATACAGTGAGCAGAACTCAGAAGATCAAGAAAAATCATCTAAGAGATTCAAGCAAAAAATAAGGTGGGAGGGTGTGTGAGTGAAAAGAAATGTTAGCAAAATTAGAAAGCAAATGCGACGAAATGAGCATCCTCGATTCCACTGCTAGTCACCATCCACTCACTGACATATAATTATATCCCAAACATCATCGAAGCATCTGCACGAGAAGCCAACCGTGCAGTTTGGTACAAGCAATCGAAGGAAAATTCTAAAATTGAATTTAATATAATAATAACACTCTGTGTGTATTTATAAATTTAGTTGCTCCTGTGGATAGACCTATATAGGGCGAACAACTAGACAGCTTAACAAACGCATTAATGAACATCTTCCTTCATGGTTCGGGATAGGTCAAATAAAATCTATAAGAAGTTCTATTTTGGCTCATTTGATTGATAGCGATCACCAAGTGGACAAAAATACCGCCTTCAAAGTTATCTATAGCATTCCACCGAGTCTTTCGAATGGAATTCGAATCCGTCCTGTACACATAGCCGAAGCTATGGGAATTCGAGGGAACAACCCTAGTCTTTTCATAACGAAGCAGTTTGTTCTACCTTTGTCTCTCCCTTGACCTATGCGAACTCTATTCAAAACCCTCTCACCCTTTCTTATTTTCCGCCTCCTTCGTATTTTTATGATATTTATTTAAAGTCTGATTATCTGTCCACTTCACCTTTAGTATTACGTAACTTTTAAGACTTGACCTAATTAATTTATTGAATTGTCTACATATACATATATATATATAAATCTTACTGATATCAATCCGTGATCAACTCGTAATATATATATATATATATATTTATTACAAATATAATTTTTTGTTACTTTGTTATTCTTATCGCCACTTGCATAAACTATATTATGAATATATCGTTATCATTATAATCATCGCTATTAACTACATTCAAAACATTTACCATATTATTACTATTACGAAACAGCTGTCCAGTACTCCCAGGTTTTCCAATGGTTCTCTAACTAATGTCAGCTCATGATGAAATCCTGAAACCAATCAAATCTCTACAAACCAACACTTGAAAACTATTACTATTA